CCTGGTTGAAAGAGATTTTTTATTTGTGTTTTTTTCGGAAATTATTTTAGGAAATACGAAATTTATTGATAACGATTGTTCTGTTTGAAAATCTGAAAAAATTTCCTAAGGCAACAGAATTGGCCTATTAAATATTTTCTTCAATATTAGTTGATTTTTTTTGTTAATAATACTAATATCTGAAATTTTATATATTTTTAAAATTTTATTAAAGTTTAAAAATAAAGCTCAAAACTTCTCTTTTATAACCACCTTTCATGTTATTAGCTCCACCAGCTATCACAACGCACTTAAAGAATTTCATCAAAGGTCAATTTAAAAAAAAAAAAAACATAATTTACTTTTTCGCATAACTCTCGAAACTTCCGCAAGTTAAAGCGACGAACTGAAAAGCAATCAAATAAATTGTTGACTTTCTAAATGCTCTTATGAGAGAATTGTTTTATCCGACTTTTCAATAGTGTCCAAAGAATTCTTTACTTATCGCTGTTTAAAATTTCAGCAAAGCAAAAAAATGCTATGAAAAGAAAAATAGTAAGTAAAAAAAATCACTTAGCTACTTTGTGATGCTAAACTGATGCTGGCCAAAAAATTTGACGTTGAAAATATTTAGTTCTCCACATTTTTATACTTATTTTGTTTTTTTATGTTTTTTGTTTCTGTTTTTGACTTCAATTTGCTCGATTTGCTGGGAATGTTTACGAAGACCATCAGCGTCGAAGAAACTTTGCCAATGTGCAATTGAATAGTTTTGTGAAATGAAATCTTATTTATTGTAGTGCCAATAATGTTCGAAATACGCTTTTACACTTTCTTTGTTTTTGTTGTTATTTTTGCACATTTGAAAACTTAAATTCGGCGTATGGGGTGCTCTACAAACCTTTTGTTTGACTTTTCAGCCCGAAAACATTTCTTAATAATAATAAGAATGAAGAAAAAATAAATTTTATTACAACCTCTTGGTTGGTTTTAAGGTTTTCATTCCTTTTAAAATTTTAATTTGTTGGGAATGCTCATCTTTTTAACAGAAAAATACTCAAAAATTCTTTATAGATGAAAGAAAATAATTTTGATGCTTTCACGCAATAAACTTTTAATATTTAATGATCGGCTTGAACCGAAGGAAAAAAGATTTATGCCGGTTTCCTCTTAAGTTTCCGAATGTAACTCCGGCACATGGATAGCTTATAAAGGTCCATCTATTTGTTGGAAAAAAATCACAACGCACACTTCAAATTCAGCGTTATAATGAAAGTTATTTTCATCCAGCTGCTATGTCATATTTTGTTAAATACCTTCTAAAATAATGCTAATGAAAAAAGATAAAACAAAAGCTCTAACTCATGCAATCGTGTTTTCCTTTTGCACGGTAAAATCATTTGACCCTCTGGGTTAATAACTGCAGCAAACCTATATTATCTATTCGAATGCATATTGGCCAGATTTTCACATAAACATAATGAACATTTCACGAAAAAATGTTGTTGCTGTGGTTAACAGAGGTGAACTGAAATTTTCAACAAACAATTCTCATGTCTGAGTGCTGCTATGTGATAATAAATATGTGAAATATAAAACACAAACTCATTTAGCATGTATGTATGTATGTATATATTTTTGAATGTAATGAGGCTATTCAGGCCTTTGTTCTGTAGTTTTGTTGTTAAATTATGTTTTTGTTGTAGATGGCTATGTTTATCAGTGTTCTAACAGAGCATTTATCATGCTTTCAAGTATTTGTACATGTGGGTGGGTGAGAGGAGGGAAATATCATTGACATTTTACGCCTAGTTATTTCGAAAAAAGCTTGATTTCTTGGAAAATTTTGGGCATTGTGATAGTTCATGTTATGTTTTTCTTATGAAATTAATACCTCATTCATATAAGTCGCCAGGATGCACGCGCAGATGTGAAGTGAGTAAATCAAAAGACTGTCCAGCTTCTATTTTCACGATTGCCTTGCATGGCGACCACCAGACGGCAAATAACTAAGGAAGATTACCGCGCACATGTAAAAGGTCAATCGCCTTGAAAACTGTAATTATTTCTTTAAAAAAATGTTGAGCTAAGATTCACATTATGCAAATAATAATGTGCAAGTGCACCCTTCCAGCCCATCTTCTAAATTGCAAGTGAGCTTACTAGCCAATGTTAACATGCAATGTCAAAAATTAAACAATTCTTATTTACTTTAAGATTTTTTTGAATTTACTTAAAACAATTCATACTGCACACCTGTGGTTTGATGTTTCAGAATTAATTTTCAACGCTACGAGACCATACATTTTTATTGCTGATAATTTGTTGTTGCCAATTGTTTTACTAACTCAAACTTACCCAGAACAAGAAAAGAAATGATGTGCTTGTTTTGAGAATTTATTCATATATTTACATAAAATATCCAACATTTTTCTTGAACTGAGCAGCTTCCATGGGGAAATTAAAAATTTTAAATTCCCTCTTTGGAGAGCTTTATGTTCGGCAGGTGGAAGGTAGCAACGAAGGATGGAATAGTTTAAAGGTAAAAAGTGAAGAAATTACAAATTATACCCCAATTTATTTACGTTTACGCTCTGAGCTCTGTTTGAAAAGAATTGAAGGTTCAGACATCGAACTTTCGTACACAATTGTGGGAATAACGGTGAATTTTAATAAAAACTGCCGATTGCGAAGATACGAAAATAAACTCTTTTTTATTGTTTAATGAAAAATAGTTAAATGTTAAGAATGTAAGTATCTTTCTATTTTTAACTGTTGGTTGCCAACCTGATCCTTCGGATGGACGAAAGGAGGGGCTTCTTTTTCTCTGCTTCCACAGACTCCAAAAGCCGACTCATCGGGTGTTGTCAACGTTTACGCTTCTCTACCATAAAGTAGTATAGGAATGATGAGCATATTTCGGTCTTTTCAATTGAAAAGTCAGTACAAAGTAGCGCCTGCGTTGGATTCTGAGGCTGATATCATTATGTTGTTATATGGAAGTTGATGCTGATGCCTAATTAGATGGAATTATCTACCACTTAAAAGTTATGACTGTTAACAAAGAAGAGGGAGCTTCTTCGACTTAATCTGGTAATGGATGGCATAATTTATCGTCATTAACTGCGTTTACTCAGCATGCTCCAGACCTTGGTCACCAGTTGCCTTAAAGGCAAATACCATAAAATCTTCTTGGAGGAAACAAATCACGCGCTCTCATTTATACATACATGTGTATTAGCTCGGGCATATGAAAGATGATAACGGTCAAACCAAATATCGTAATGTGTTTTGTCACTATGACCTTTTTCACCTTCTCATTTAACCCTTTATTTTTCGAGGATTACATACATTATTCATTGTCATCATTGAATGCTACATACACACATATATAAATAGATGCTACGAATGAGTATACATGTACATAAATATAACACATCTAATCAAAGCTATAAGCAGCAGTTTGATTGATTGCCAGTAATTTGTTGTGTTGCTTATCAGCTTTCAAACTTTACTGCTCTTCAGCAAAGGAATGCTTGATTCTCCCTGAAAAGAGCAGCTTCCACGGCTAAAGCATTCACAAAACTCGCATTATATTAAAAAAAATGTAATATGGGTAATATGCGAAGTATGTTTCATATGTTCCCTGCAGTGGAAAAGGAGACTGTCATGTAAAAGTTCTTGTTATAAACTAGTTAAAAACTAGTATTTTATGAATGATATAATACCAGTTCGAATCCAGCTGTAGGCAAATACACTTTTATTTTTAGTAAAGTATTGTAGAAATTCAACACACTTGTGACAGTTAGGACATCGTCGGCATGGATATAACTGTTTCTAACATGGGAAAGAAAAGAAAATGAAAGAGCGGAAAACTAGTGGAACTCTAGTTAACAACCTGTATCTCCCCCTGCAGGGCTCATAAAAGCACATTTGTGATGGTGATTATTCGTTTGTATAATAATATCCTTTCCTATATATCTAAGAACAAATATGTACTTTGAATTCACACATACATACGGAAAAATATTTTCAAGCTTTCGCTAGTCGCATTCGTTTATTCGAATTATTTCCTTTGTACATGTGCATACCTTTCGAAATACCAGTGTAGCTTGTGGCGTTATGGTACGCTTTGTTAAACTGGTTTCAATAAATTATTATTATGTGTACAGTATTTTGATTTGTAATTAATTTCATAATTTAACTTATTTAATTTTATTATTTATTTTATTTTACTTCATTTGAATTTCATTTTATTTTATTGTATTTTATTTTTTATTTTTTTTTCAATTCATTTTATTTCATTTTGTTTTATTTTGTTTTATTTCATTTAACTTTTTTATTTGTTTTTTTGGGGTTTTTTTATTTATTTTTCTTATTTTGTTTTCTTGTATGTCATCACCGGTTTCGCTACTATCCTTCAACGACAGTAAAAATTTATAATAACAACATTCATTCGGTATTAGATATTAACTTTTTGAATCTGTTGTTGTAGGCAAGTTCTCTTTGGATAGTGCTGTGTTAGTTGAGAGACAGTCGTTAAACGGCACATAAGTATAAAAATTACATAGTATGTCCTGGGAGACTTTTAGGGAAGTGTCTGAGAGGGCAGAATGGAATAGTATTTGAATAGCTTCGTCAAGTGAAGAATAACAGTTAAGATAAACAGTTAAGTTTAGTTTGATGATCCTCTTGGTTCTTTCTAAAAACCTAACCAGATGAGGTGGCTCATACCAGTTTCATATACCGTTGTCATTTATTTGTCAATGTGATATACGAGTATAACGTGGTGTTCTGCTTTACACTGAGGAGTGGTATTACTTTCTTATCAAAAAGTGTTTCCCTTAGATGTCATCCGCAAGCATTCACTAGTCATGATGGCGTTGATTATCTAACCTAGATATCAACAAACACAGTTCATCAATAAAGTTGAAAGTAATTATGTGAATTAATTGAATGCGAGCCTTTTTCATAAATTAAACTCGCCAGAGGAGCTAGTCGCTGTTCGTTGTTTATCGGGTATGCATCGCGTCACATATTGGGTGCTACTAATCCACCACTATTACATGCTCGCTGTGGGCATTGTGCGTTTTCGTTATGACTTCGTTGCCGACAAGCCCCACACGACGACCTTCATCACGTACTACAGTGTGGTGGCCAATGTGCTGACCATATGCTCATTACCTTGGATATATCACACTTCCTTTAACGTTTTTCTACAACACGATCGGATTGGAAAGCTGGCGCTCTACATCTTCGTCGGCTCAAGAACGTTGCGCGTGCTGGCTGTAGTGATAGCCATAGTGCACAATTGGCTGAGACGCGAGGAATTGCTGACGGTCATACGTGAATTCAATTTTCTGCGCTGGACGTTCTTTTCACGGTTCACCGTTGCAGCGCCAGCACAACGACACTTCGAAATAAAGATAGTGCGAAATATTTTATCGGGTCTGATGATCGATGTGTCCGGTTTTATAATGATACTGTTTGCCTACAGCGAGCAAGCGTCATCAGAGTTCATATTGAGCAGCATAATGTTCACCTTTGTCTCGAACATTCTATATTTGGTAATAAATCAGTATTATTTCGCATTACGAACCGTTATCTTATTCGGTAACTTGATGAACCAGCAGCTGACTGACATAATGAAATTCACTGAGCATGTGGCATCACTGCAACATAAACACCGAAACCATGTGCAATTCAAGGCGCGTTGCCGTCTGCTGAGCCAAGAACTGGACGAGCTATCAGTGGTGTATTGGCAGCTGCAGACCTTAGCTGAGCGCATCACTGACATCTTCAAGTGGCAGGGCCTGGGCGTGCTCACTAACATGTACATTTTCAATGTATCGCTTATATATACCGTTGTCTCGATGCTCTGGACCGGTGAATTCACAGTAAGCCACTATGACTGGGTGGCTGTACTAATGGCGACGACAAGCGTCGTCTATTTGCTGGATGTGCGAGAGTTTTTGGGTTTGCAGCTGGAGCACATGGATATATTCAACTTGAAGTTTTTGCATTTGGAGACCTACAGCTCGCTGCCACCTTTGGACAAGGCACTCGAACGAAGTGTGAGTTTTTGTGTTAAAATAAACGTTGTTCAATTACTTTCAATCCGTAAATCCGGTAGGTAGAGAGATTTCATATGCAGCTTTCCATCAACAAATACGAGATGAGCTTATTGGGTCTTTTCAAGTTCAACGGTGAAGTCGGCTTCTCTATGTTTGCCTCGATGCTGTTGAGTTCTATTTTAGTTATACAATTCGAATATCAATATTTTCACTAGCACAGTGCATATGTGTAACTATTTCACAAGGGAAACCACACACGTGCGGCTTCCTAAACTCCAGCGATGAGCGTTGATGTCATAAAAGTCGCTTCGACGCCTTTTCTTGAGACTGATATGCTTTATATGAGTTCTAAAGACGACACTCTTTTATTCATCTCCATATCCGTACGCTTACGTTTTCCAACGGAGTAAAAATCAGCTCTTTCCATCTTCTTCTGCTCAGCCACTCACATACCTTAAATTTTGGACACCTTGCATATATGTTTTCGATCGACATTCCATGCACTAACAACCGCATTTTGTACACTTCACACCTCTTCTTTGGAATTACAATAAAAACAAAATAAGGCAGAAAGAGGAAAACGATAGCAAAACCAAACTCAAACATAATATCGAACTTCTTGCAATTGGGTGCATTGGAATGTAAAGTAGACAAATAGAATGAAATAAAGTTATGATGGAGAAAGGCGGGGGATGTGGTGGATGGTAAATCAATAATGCGATTTTTATGCGTACATACATACATATGTATTTATTTATCACTTCAACTGAGCATAATCAAATGCATTCACGTGTGAGAGAGCAAATATTTTCGGTGCAACCTTCGACCTCCAACGCATAAATCTGAGAGTGCTCAAATGTTTTTCTGAATCTAACGAGTTGGTAAACAAAAACAAGTTGCTAAATATAAAACGTTGTCAAATAAAAAAAAGCGAAAAGGTAGAAAAGATTGCAAAAAAACGTTGGTAAGATTTGTAACCAAAACAAAAAAAAATCTAAAAAATATGTTGCGAAGCGGATTGATAGATATCTTTGGTTTATCCGGCCATAAAAATTCCAGCTTCACAATCCAACGTAGAATATCTCAGATGTCAGCAGGTTCTGCTTTATACTGAGTACTGCGGAGGCCTGGACGATGATAATATACGAGAAATACGGCGACATTGTTATTGTTCAGCAAGGATTAGCATTTGGGCGAGCCTACGCTAACGAAGAAGACCTTTCTAATATAAAAAAATAATTAAAATAATGAATAATCGACATAAAACAAATTTTGTAACGAATGCGAATCACCCAATCCTCATGGAATGCAGTTTGACAGTTTTCTATTTCGCTGGATTGATTTTTTTTGATTTATTTGAAAACGCACTGGAAAAGAAAGTTTTTAGTAAAAGCGAAAAAAATCCATTCCATCAAATCTATTCTATATTCCTCTGCCTATAATTTCAACAAGCTTAATATCCGACTGGACATTATAACTTCTATAATAATTTCTCATTTTTTAATTTTAAGTTTAGTAATAGTGTTTGGGTTCTAATAAAAGATAATTAGGTGAATTAAATGATTCGGCACGTATTTGGAGTGCGAATTACGGTTGAGAGAGCGAAAAACGTAATTGAGGTGCCGTGGAAATGCCAATTAATATCTTTTTCAACAAGTCGAGGAAATCACAGTTTTTTCTGAGCTGCATGCGAGCTGCCGACAGATTTTTATGAGGAGCATTTATTACATCAAATGTCTAGGTTCGACCGCTATTGGAAAAATTAAAATACTATAATATTGAAGCAGAACTCGAATACTGATAGTATGCACTACTATCCGCTGAGATATGGCAGCCACTCACAAAAAAATCAAAGAAAAAAATATGGAAGCAGAGTGGAATCAAACTTTAAGCTTAACTCTGCAGGTTAGCAATTGAAGAGTAAAGAGTGGCAATCTATTAAACTAATCAAGAAACACAAATTACGGTATTTCTTCAGAGAATTATCTATATGTACACGTACGTATGATGTAGCGTTTTTATGTTCGCAGAATGAGGGGGTGGTAGGGAGGCGATTAGCGTAGTAAAGTGCTCAGTGACTCGTAATAACTATAAATACAATACGAGGTTTCATCGTTTTTACGTTATTAGACAATTAGTTTTAAAGCTATCCAAGCAACATAATCGGCGTGAAATGTGAAATTTGGAAAAAATCAAGTGCAGTATCATTATAAACTTATTTACAAAGCAAGGAAAATCAGTTGAGTGAGATGTCATTGGCATACGGCGAGTCTTATCCGGGAAAAACCATAATATAGAAGTGACTGAGCGGTTCAGCTTATAAAGCGCTTATTATAAGAGTGTTTCAGATTGGCTGTAATATGTAATGGCCTTAGATATTTTGAGTCACCTACCCCACTGCCCAGACCTGGCTCCGAGAGATTATGAGGGAAGAAATAAAAACAATTAATAGATCCGAAAAGAGACAATGAGTGAGAAGTCCGTCTTGCAGGTAAATAAATTGAAAATAAAAAATTAACTTTTTTTTATTTTCACTCTTCAGCCCCATTCCGCGAACATGAAAACACTCCCTCGTACTTAATTGAAGAGTGTCAAAAGCAAAACAATGGAAGGCTTTCTAACTGTCAAGCACGTAATTAAAAGCGATAATTGAATTTTGTAATCAGAAATAATTTTAATTTTTCATTAATGTTTGAAACTAAACTTGCTGCTACTCTCGTTATAAAAAAATCTAATTATTTTATTAATAATTAGTGGAAACTTAACGGGAAAACCCAAAAAAAAAATGGAATCATAATTTTGCAACTTCTATCGAAGTCATTTTATTATAAAATATGTATGTACATAAGTGCATAAATATTTATGTATATTGAATTAACCAGATTTACTGGAGATATGATTTCTTTGATTTCCGGCGCCTTGTCATAAGCAAAATTGAACAATTTTTCAAGCTCTTATCCCATAACCTCCGGATGGTATGTAAAGGGTTGGAACTCTCCACGGCCGCTTCCGCTAAATAAATATAATTGCCAAGCCTTTTTCTTCGTTGCGGTCGCCTTACTTCTTTGGAAAGTATCTTTAATAAAACAATTTTTTTTTTTAATTTTTTGTGTATAAATTTATTTTTTTATTTTCACATAAACACATACATATAAAAACTTCTGGCATATATTTTGCATTTACTTTACTTTACATTTCCCAAATCCTGATAACGCCTTGAATAGAGCTGAGCTGGTGCGGCCGCTCATGCAGATATATATACGTACGTATATACGAGTACCTTGATATGACAATGAAATATATTTATGTTGACTTTATAATTGCATAGCTCGCAAGCTGCTACTGCACTGATTCGTAAAATCGCTGGTGAGCCACAAAAGCCGCCGAGCGAGCGAGTACAGAGAATCGCAATGCCAACGACTTAATAACGCTCCAAGCTATCCAAGGAATATCTGAAATGTACACACATACATATGCGTTTTGAACTGGTTGCGAATGAATTGTAGGTGTTTTGATATACTTAAGTATGTGTATATGTGTATATAGCTGTAAAAAATATACAATATATGTATGTTTGGCACACATACCATTAAACACTGAAAAAACTCACAACAACAGCAACAACTTTCAGCCAATTGTTAGCTCTTATCAACATTTTAAATTTTTCGTTCGCGCTTTGGACCATTATTACCCGCTGGACAACACAATTTTACACCAAATATTAAACAACAACAGCAGAAAGAAGTCAAAAAATAAAGAATTCAAAGGAAAAAGAATAAAACAAAGATTCGATTGTGAAAAGTTTCGGGAAAAAAAACAGGCAGGCAGACCTATTTCGGTACAAAATTGATAGCGAAAAAATTGCATTTTCATTTGTGCAAAAGGAGAAATGGAAAATAACAACAGAAAAAAATCTAATCAAATAAAAAAAGAGGAAAATGAATGTACAATAAATAAAAACTTACTTGCTCCAGGGTCAGTGAATTCGCACGAACCCCGAAAAATAGTGGAAATATCCCCAAGCAGATGTTGCTCGGTCAAATGGCAACAGATAATCCGCCAACTGTGTATGTATGTATACACCTGTATATAACTGTATTGCAATGCAAATTATGAAAACATCTGCAACTGAAAGCCCGAAGAAAGAAGAGCAAAAATGTAAAACTGCCAAGCATGGAAAATGCACATCGAGCTTAGATCGAAATACACATTTTGTGGGAAGTGAAATATTTGATTTTTAAAAAGCTTGCAAAATAAAGTAAAGAATATAAATAATTTTTATTAACAAATGGGGAATTTCAAAAAATGTATTTAATGCACAAATAAGTTTCCGACCCTTTGAATGAGTGTCGTGGACTAGGCTTACATTAAAATTCGCAAATGATTACCGGTTAGAAGATAAGGTTGCTCATTACAACATAATCTACCATACTATTAATTAAGTAATGCAATTGTTTTGCACATATTTTTTGATCCGATGATTTCTAAACTGGAGCTCATGCTGCGTATTGGGATCAGTTGGGCTGGTTTTTGCGAAATGCTCAAACTAAGCGAAACAACAAGAATCTTGAGAGCAGAGCTCTGCAGGAAAACGCACTCGATAATACTTTCAGACATCACACATTTTAATGAAAAACTACAGACCCCGTATTCATAAGATATCGCACCGTTCTTCTGACGCGGAAACCGCACGCTGCCTTCAAGATGAGTAGAAGTAGTAGCTAAAGATGGAAAATACTTCAACCGAACACAATCTATCATTTTCTCACAATAAAGTTTACATTTTCAACAAAGGGCGGATAATTTGGGCTTAACATTTATAGATTTTCACAAGGCGAATTCATTAAGGTGAGAATAGGTGAAACAATTTATTTTATAATCTGAGGTTTGGTAACCCTAGCATTGCAATCGTGTAACTGACAACTTTATTGTACAGTTTGACATTTTATATATGGTGTTATATATACTCAGAACTTGAAATGTTCATCTCGCCCAAAAAATGGAGTTGAATGCGAACATTTCCGAGCGATTGCAAATTTCGACGTGGATTAACTCACCAAAAGTGCATCGATGAATTCAATAAAATTTTTGGCGATGAAAATCCATCAGAGACCAGTGTTCATCTATGGTATGGCAAATTCAATCGAAGTCGTAGATCACTCGAAGAAGGATTTCGTGAAAGTCGTCAAAAATCAGTTGTTTTTCGCAAAATATTGATACTGAATGCAAGCTCACATATGGCCTATCGTGAAATGTTTAAAAACTACGATTGCGTTGCTTCGAAACGCATGTAGAACATCGTGGCTGTTGATAAATCGTTGAGTTACGCGTATAATCCCCAAAGTAAGCAGCAGTCAACTATATGGGTGCTTAAAGATGGGCTGACTCCAACAAAAGCTAATTGCGGACGAAGCACTACAGTGCACAGATCTTAATGGAGAATATTTTGAAAAATTGTAAAGTGACCTTCGATTATTAATATTTGATTTTGTTTTCTAATCCCAAAATACAAAGTTCTTGAGCATCTCAGTTTTGTGTTGTATTTTCAAATAAGTCAAATGAGATTTTGAAAAACAAAAGTCAATGAAATGAAATGTTATATTAAAAGGTGGAAACTTTTGCTGGAAATAAACAAAAAAAGAGACGAAGTGCAATATATTTATAAATATTTCGCAGCGTAGCCAAAGGTAAGATTATACGTTTCGGAGCTTTCATATATTATATAAATATATGGGTGTAAGTATCTCTATGTGTGTATGTATATGATTTAAATTCAAAACAAAGCAAATACATAATATCATATAATTCAATTATTCTTAGTTTTATTCATTCACAATTTATAATTTTTAATCACCATACAAATATTTGGTACTTACATACTATAACTATGTAAATATATACTCCATACATAAGCTACATAGGTACATACATACATCATAATAAACATTAATGAAGAATGTCATTGAGGGGAATGTTCATCATTCGTCGAATTACATACATATGTACATAAATACATATGTCACGGGTATGCTATGTCTATATTTATACAAGCAAGTGTACATACATACAATATATATACAAATGACAATAGTATCGAGTGCGTAACTAAATTCTAATTTTTCTTTGCACTTACACTCATTTTTACTACACACATACATATCCAAGCTCAGAGTTTATTGTGTTATTTTTCCAAGCATCCACTTGAAAGTCCTTACTTTTGATCCTTTTTCTTTTTAATTATAATCAATTTTAGCGCTCGCGTGCTGCTTTGTATATATATATATATACATAAGTATGGGTGTGCTTGTGAATTTATTTCAAATGAATGTAGGGATAATGTCATATACGCTTTTTATATACACAATATGAGAAATACATATATTTATTTGCACTATTAATACATAATAAATAATTACATAAATAAAATGTAATTAAGTTTTTTAATTTCATTAAGACTTATTACATACCATACATATACAATTTATTCATTAAAAAATTTGGTTTTCTTTCATTTCTTAAAACTTATTTTAATTCGATTTTTTAGTTTAATTTAAACTAAAAATGTTTATGATATTATGTTTATCTATTCATTTATTTTTTTTTTATATTTTCAATTTGCTATATTAAATTTCTTATAAATTTTTGTATTTAATTAGCAATTTTTCATTGCAATATTTTTTTATTTTATATTTTATTACTTGTTTTTTCCGTACTATCTACCAATCAGTTGTGGTGTGTTGTCGTTACATTTACATTACAGTTATGTTACAAAGAGTGCATAAACCCAAATAGTTGAACTCATTAATATCATGAGCTTGTAAAGATTCTACATAAAACTCTGAGGTGACGAACATATTGGATCAGCGAGCAATGAAAACGGGGGAGCGCAGACATTTCCTCTTCTTTTTTGCGTTAAATTTTAGCTTAAAGATTCAGATTGCCAATTTTTGTTTAATAATTTCACTTAAAATTCGAAATCGAATTACTCGAAAATAATGCAGCTAAAAATCAAAAAGCATTTCTTTCGACAATTTTTTTTTTTTTAAATTCACCAAAATTAGGTTTACTTAAATATGTCTTTTTCATGTCGGCATCCGTTTGTTGTTTATCTTTTTATTTAGGAAAATTAAAGCATTATTTCTTCTACGTTATTAAACAAAGGCCATTGGACGATAGTTGTAGTGAAACATCTCCAAAAAGGTATCGAGCTCATCAATTCAGGAAATCTTTGTGCTACCAGTTTAAGTTCTCTATTCATTACCTTTTTCTGGGAGAAAAAGGGAGTGGCATAGCTTTCAGAAATTGAAAGAGGAATTTAAAAAAAAAATTCAATTCATGGAAATTTTAAACGTTACATCGCTATTTACAGTTGTTATCTAGAACATATCCAAAAAAAGACTTTTTCTTGATGTCAACATAATTATGATCTTTCGGTGATAAATAACTTGCACTTGCAATATTGAAGGGTCTTATCGGTATCAACATTTGCTGAGGTGATAAGCCCGATATCTACCTTTCTGGCTTTCTGGCTTTCTGGCTTTCTGGGGCCAATTCATGGTACTTATCGTCCAATGCCTTGAAAACGTAACTTTATTCTCTTCATTTTGCTTTACTTCCCGCTGTATATGTTCATTGCTCAGGTCGGAGAAAACTCTTTTCGCATCGTTTCACCTCTTCTCTCACTCTATTCAGCCTTAAATCACTTAAACGTTTCATTAGTATGGACTTAATTGCAATCACGCTCTTCTTTACCATTTATATTCACAATAACAGTACACAACAATAACAATACCAAGGAATTAAATTTGGAATTTCAAGCAGCGAGCGCTCGTTGAAGCAACCCTCGCACCATACAGAGTCCACTTCAAAGAAAACACGTGCTTCTGGTGCTTCCAAACACTTGTAAGAGTTCCGCCACATGAGTGCTTGTGCTATTTCGTATGTGTGCGTGTAAGTGTATGTGTGTGTATGTGCCTTGATATCATACAGTGGCTTCTCACGGCGTTTAAAGGAATTCATCCTCTTGCAGCATGATGACTACCGTATCTCACCTCTTTTCGCCGGGTCCACAAGCTCCTACGCTGCCTACAACGCTACCAGTGTCGTTCTTTTGTTTGGCGACACTATGATGCAACTGCATGGAGGTCTGTCTGTGGAAACCACCACCGCCACCACTGCCACCACCGCCTACACTGCCGCCTCCATTGCAGCCTCCGCTGCCGCCCCGGTTATTGTTCATATGCAACGAAGCGCGATTATAATTGCTGAGCGTGGACCGACGCATCGACATGATGCTGGTGTCCATGACGCCCGTCGCGGTGGAATGTTGTCGTATCCGCGGTTGTCGCTTAATGCAGAGGCAACATAAATACCGATTGAAGTGCTGCCGGAAGACGCCGGAGACACAGTACAGAGCGACAGGATTGACGCAGGAATGTAGAAAGCTGGATGTTAACAGAGATGAAAGCGCAGAAGAGTTTTGTATGGAATTTAAAAAATACAGAAAAACAAAATGCAATTAGTAGAAACATGTTGGGCTGTAGCCATCACTAGGGAAGAATAAATGGCTTAATTGTTTCGAGATGCTTAAAAATTATTTTATGAAGCAGTAAAGGTAGTTAAACATAAGAAAAGGGTATGTAGAAAGCATTCTGCTGAAGTTAAGTTATGTTGAACGGGCTAACCCATCGGTTCTCACATAGACGATTTTAGGTCCATACTATTGTTAGGCGCACCACACATGATACTGACGGATATCGTGTGCCAATGTCTCCGCACATCGAAAGTCATAACATCAGCCTGGCATCCACCCTCTTTACCGCTGTCAAGTAGTTTCAGACGGAGCAACGGCTAAGGGTCACAAAAGTTCGAATAATATCTTATCTATGTGGTGGAAGAAAGAGTTTCCCCATCATACTTCTTAAGCTATTCGCCCTTTTGTTTTTGTTTCTCAAATAGCTTCTTCTTATTGCAACTTGTGTGAATTACTCTCGCTTCCACTACCCTCTCAGCGAGTAAGTAGAGAAGAAAGCATTCGTTGGCCAATAAAAATTCAATGAGTGCAAAACAAGAAAGAAATTCCACAATAATTAAATTGAATTGCTTTGCGCGGAATCTCGCCATTAAATCTGCATTGGCAATGAAAAGAAATCAACAACAATAATATTGACAACAACAACAATAATAGCAAACACAGTGCAATCTAATGGTAGCTACAGATATTGTCATTACAACGTTTGCCGTATTCTCCATATAAGAAAGTTTTGAAAAAAGGGCATTTGTCTGCGGTAACTACAAGTGTAGAATGAATAGGTTTTGCTCGTCCTGCCAACAGTGTGGCAACCAATTGAAGATTTTTGTGCGAGAAGGAAATGTCACAAATAAAAATAAAAAGTTCACGGCTTGTAGAGCAGATTGGCTTTTGTTAATTGCATAGAATCCCAGATAAAGTTAAATGGCTCTGCCAAAGTTGAGATGGGAAGTGCTTTGAACAACTTCTCAGATTATCTTAAGCCCTGGAAACTTTAAGAAATATTAGAATTTCGTGCAGAAAACTCATCTCGTATGGGCTCAACAGACGGGTATGAGAGTTTGACGAAAATCGTAGAGAAATTGAGGCCAGTCTCACGCTCAATTCGGCAACAATCAATAGGAGCACTTATTCATAAGGAAAGTCTTCGGATTATTTTATTGATGTGCAACGTGTATCAGCAGCAAAATAAGTTTACATTTGAAACCACATTCCACTTCTTAGCCAACTATTTTCTTCTTGAGCGTATTTCGACAGTAGAAATTTGATTTGTTTCTTATTTACTAGGAGAATGGTGTTCTTACTGCGTACTCCACTTACCTTGCGCAGAATCCAATTATCCGAATTGCATGCCAGAAATCATCAAAGTCCTCTTTAGCTGTCGGATTTAAGTGGAACCACAATTCGAACAAGTGATAAGGAAAGAAGCAGACGAAGAATACTAAGGAAACAGGGAAGATAGATATACAAAAACAATTTTTTAATAACAGTAAAACATTTTCTTTTTTTTCTAATTATTTCGCAAATGTTTATACAGTTTCTTATTTTTAATTAATATTTTCACGTACGTTCTAAATTTTTTGTATAATCACCCCGGTACCACCGCACAATGTAGCTCTGTGTTTGTGTGGTTTTACCTTTCGGCGCCTGCAGTCACGAGTGATTTCAAATCAAGTTAACAAATCCAACTGCTGACACAATGAATGTGACTAAGCAGGCAACCGATTGCAATAGCAATAAAGTTTTGCAGCAACAAAACCAATTATATATAAGTCCCCCCATTACCATCACCGCTAACTGCTCACTGCACCATGGAACGCCACAATTGCTTTATTGGACAGCAACTGTGGCTTAACTTAGTCTCTCCATATGTGGCACCAGCGAGACTCTCATTCAATGCAATTGCTTTTCATCACCGCTTCACAATATCTACATTACCGTTCTTCTTCTTCGAATAAGTAGGACTGTGTCATATCAGATTTGACGACTGTACTTACTCACAACAAAGGCGACCACCATTCGCGCCACGTGACGACGAGCTCGCGCCTGCGACCGGCTTTGCATGCCCAACGCCTCGCCAGGCATTTCACGTGCACTCGTGTGCAAACGCTTGGCCATGAGTATGTAGAGGGCGCCGATGATGGATAGTGGCAAGAGATAATAGATGAATGCCTTGCAAATGACGGTATATCTGGAAGAGATGAGCGGAGGATGTAACGGTTAAAAAAGTTATCAAAAGTAAATTTAAATTAAGTCAAATTTGGCGAATAGACTTCCAAAATATATTTTATAATGAAATTTGTGATGAAAAATTTGTTGTTAAACGCTAGACTTTTAGGCCTCTTACACTGACTTTATTCTTATTTTAGTTTTCAGGTGGGTCTCTAAGTGTGCTATATATGTTTATATGGAATGAGGTAGAATCAAACCCTCTGTAAAGAGCTCCTAGAAAGCGAATCGAATTCAAACTTTCCAAGGTTTCTTAAACATGTGGAGTATAAATATGCTAGGCTACAGCAAACTGAAAGCTTTAGAGTGGGGAACCCTGTAATTTCAAGCAAATTCTGAAGGCTTAAATATTTAATAACAAATAACCGTAGAAAAACAGTCGTTTAAGTCGTAAGTGCGGTAAAACATCTCTCTTGCGGTAAACGCCTAAATAAAGTCATTGATTATTTGTAACGAACACACCAACACGTTTTCCGTTATCTACTGCAGCTTAAAAAAAAACGAGTGTCCCAGGGCGAAGTAGAAATAAAAAGTGTGCGAATGGAAAATGGGCAATCAAACACATACGTATTTGGTACATAAATATGCACCAACATATGTACGTACACATGTAAGTCTTCATGAAGGAATTTACTGTTATGTTTACCAAGACTTTTTTGCTGCCCTTTGTGGGGAGTCATAAAAATTTCAATAAAATTTAATGCGCTTAACGAAAATCGATGACAGAAGCGTATTCATCGATACATACAAACTTGCAGTTACATACATGTGCACTGTATATTTGTAATTCATATTTTTGGTTGAAGTTTTTTTTTTTTATAAAAATTTCTCAGCCACGGGAAAGTTAAAGGCAAAATTTTTCAAAGTTTCCAAGGGACAAGAGTGAACTCCATCAATTTGGCAGCGAAGATTACGCCAAATTGGGATATTTATTTTTACTCGGGCGGTTTAAGTGAAGCATGAAAAGTATTTAAAGTTGCCATTTTAAGTTTTACCTTTCAATTAGATTAAAAAAAAAATAATTATATTTTTGATACTTTATGGGAAAAAATGTCTATTGACAAATATCAACCGTTTTGTTGTTTTTGAAGAAGTTTTACTGGAAGGAAACATTTTTTTGTAAAATTACTCAACTATTGTTCAATTGAGCTAGAGGAATTGCCGGTTTATACTAATTACAAAATAATCAAATAAAATTTGTTTGTCTCTAAAATTTATATCCTCATTGAACTTTACCAAACCGTCGTATGCTATCAGGCAACCACCGTCAATGTTTTCCATTTATTAATTTTGCCTTTTATTTATTTATTTTGGTTGCGCCTTTTTATCAGTTTTTTTTCAATTTATTTTGCTACAAGAAAAATATCACTCATACGCACTGTCCACCTCATTTACAAAACATTTTAAGCCGAAAAGCTTGAAGTGAGCTTAAGAGAGCTTAAAATTTTTTGATTTTCTTTAAAAAATATTTTTGGCTGCAAACAAATACTAAAATTAAATTTTTCAGTTCCATTTTTCACCCATTGAATCTTCTATTTACAATCCTCCAGGGAAGACTCAGTTCCAAAATTATATTTTTTTATTGAATTTACCTGGCGTAGGAATCTAAATTAGGACGATTGCGTCCAAATGGTGAGCAGATGATAATTGTCAAATTATCATGGCCTTTGGTGGGTGGTATCTCTATCTCCTGCAGGTCAGAGACGACAAACGATGGCGTCGCCAGTAGAATGGCCAACAGCCAGATCATGCTGGCGGTGAAGACAGTCAAAGGCTTCGTCTGCAAATAGCAATGAATATAATTTGCAATAAAGAAGAGAAAATATAAAATGAACAGAGGTCAGTGTTCAACACTCAACTTTTTACTCACCTGTAATTTACGCAACGGATTTACAATGGCACAATAGCGCTCGCCAGACAGGGCGGTCAGTGTAAATACCGAAACGCCAATGGAAATGTCTTTGAAGCACTCACTCACGCGGCACATCTCGGCGCCAAATTTCCACATCTCCTGTGTATAGACGATGCCGGCCAACGGCACACAAATGACAATGACGAGCAGATCGGCCAATGCCAACGACAGTATGTAGCTGCGGAGTGAAATGTGAAAAAAGTGAATTTTCCTAGAGGTTATAAAATATTTAATTTAACAGCGACAAAGTATAAAAGAATCTGAAAAAAATTAGTCGTAGAAGTAGAAGTAAAAATGTCTTCTGAGCAAAGTGCTTGGTAAAATATAAATTTATATACAAATATATGTTCGCATGTGTGCGCTTGACAAATTCAGGCTGACGTATTTATGCAAATTGTGGCATTCTGCCTGACAACCACAGACAGCATTCTCCACTTACTTATTTTGCTTTTGGTACAACCTTTTTCTAATACTCTTCGTGTTTCTTCTTCTACAAGCGAAATATCACTCATACGCTGCGCCGCCACATTTCGTTAGCGGCGAATGAAATTTAAGCAGGTAACTGAAAAGTGCAAGCGCAAATAACGCCAAAGACTAACCAATAATCAGAGCAGGTTCAGTATTGTTTCGAATGTAAGAAGATGAAAAAAATAAAAACAACCACACAAAGAGGCTTATAAAGACTACATCCAACTTTTTGAGCTTCCATAGGCAAAAGAGCAAATTTGAACAACGGTTCAACTAGAAAAAAATATCGGAAAGGAATAAAGCGACAGTACTGACGTGCTGTCTGTCAGTTACGTATTATTTTGCACGGCAAACGATGTTGGCAACGGCATTATGGGGTTGTGTTGGATGTGAGGATTGACGGTAGTCAATATCAAACATCGAACATAGATGGCTATACATTTGCCCATCGCACACTTCAGTAGTCAGCTGACTCTCGGCCGTTGTTTGGTGTCGGGCTGCGTACAGCATCAGGCGTGCATGACACTAGTGCGATAAGCGCTCACAAGTTTGCAGGCGCACATTAAAGCTATAAGGTATTGGCAAATGAGTGAATTAAGACGAAAGGACAAAGTACGTTACAGAAAAAGAAAATAAATCGACTCATCATAAAGGATGGGTGAATTTGATGTGCCTTCATCCCTGCTCTACCTATCCAGTTAAAAAGTCTTCAATCTAACATCAACAAGTGAATACGAATATCTTAAAGCCGAATGTCTTTTCCTCTCTTTTGACTCGATAGAGAGCTTTAAAACTTAGGTTTCCAAATCTCAGCCGGCAAATTTCATCCTCAACTACCAACGCACACATTGGTCTGTGTGCTCTCTTCTCTTGGGTTCATTCTAAGAAGAACCTTTCTTCAGATCATCAGCGCTCTCTATTAAGAGATGTCTCTCTTTTTTGCTTTGACTTATGAAATGATTGCTGAAATTTTTTGTCTTATTTTTTGTAATTCCATTGCATTGAGCTCTGGCATTTATCTAGTATTCCACAAAGTCAGTGTGATTTCATGAGTGTCTCAGTGTGTGGTTGAGCATGAGTGCCACAAGAAAGCTTTGCTCAACTGTTAATGCATAAGGGGTCGTTGCTCATTTTGCCGTTCGCATAAAATCAACACTTCCACTCACAGTTTAAAAATGTCAATTTTGTTCTTCGTAGCAGGAAAGCAATTTAAAAATAAATTATTATTAAAAAGAAGTTAAATGATTAGTGAAGTTTGATTTTTACTTAAATGAAAGACCAGCAATTTATTCCCTTTCACAAAATGTCAGATCTTCTATGCTCTTTCTCGAAATCGAGCTCATGTCTCACTGGCTGACTTTCTATGTACATATATTAGTATATTTCTATGGAAATGCTGTTTTAAATGGACTTTTCGGCGAACAGTATTCTAAAAAGGCATACTTGATATTCCATCAATTTTTTTATACTTTATGTCGGTGTGTGTATGTGGACATTTCTGATAGTAAAAAGGTTGTTTTACTACAAAACAGTTTTGAGGTACTTCGTCTTCCAAACCAAAATAAAACTAATTATTGGCACAATATTCAACATAAAACAGTTCTTCACTAGATGGCGCTGGAGTCAAGCATTGCTCTAAATGCGAGAACTTCAAAGGAAATTACATTACGCATTCCTTTTGGCTCCCACCTTTCCGTGCAAGAATAGCTCTCACTAAAACAAAGCAACTACATGTAATAATGCGTAAACCCTATTTTCGAGAATAAACCGGAGTAGTGAGGAAAGGTATCAAAGGAAAACACTGCTTCTCCATGAAAGCATTTATTTATTTAATGCTACGCTTGGTGAACAAAACTGTTGATTGGAAAAGCATTTTGGCAGGATATAAATAAAATATAAGCTACAAAACACTTCATTTCATTACAACCATCCACCAGTTGTCCCACATCCCCTCGCCACCTAAAAATGTCAATATTACACTCTCATCCACCAGCAATTTGGCTTCTGGCAACTTACGTGTTGGGAATGTTGCGCATGGAGCGATGCCGAAAGAATATTATCACCAAAGTGCCATTGCCTAAAACGCCAACAATGAAGATGAGCGCAAAGAGCACGGTGATAATGTAAGTTTCAGGTCGTTGCTCGGGGGGCACATAGTCTGACGCGGCATCGATGTCCGTCATTTCATCACTGCCACCGCTAACCGCTGCTGGCTCACCGCCGTCGCCGCTCCGATTGCGCAAACCGTCGCCAATACTGCTGAATACCGCCAACGTCGCTGTGCTGTCTACCGCAGCCGCCAACGCTTGGCTAGCAACATCTATGTAATTTGTCGTACGTGACGTTGTGGACGAGGCGTGTGGCGCATAGGGTAATGTGGGTCCAAGATATGTCGTTGCTGGTTGTGAGATGAGCATACCGATGATTTGGTGATTGGCGATGAATGCGTTGCTGCTGTTTACTTTTTAGGCTACTTAGCGGTTAACGGCTTTACGCGCAGCTACTCGCTGATACAGTTCCTTAGTGTGGCTCAATAGCACAGCTTTGACGGATGATTTGCCTTTATGAAGGATGTGCTGTAACTCCGTTCTGATGCCGAAAATATGTCGAGTGGATTCTTTTTACTATGCGCTGGGCGGTCGCATAATGGCGTACATTTTGGTGACGTTTTCCTTAACTTGCTATTCTGATTTGTTGTTTTTGCTTCGGGGAATGTGTGTTTAAGTCACAGCTTACATTGTTTAGCGTCGTTTATGCACTGCAATAAAAAAGAGATGAAAGAACTTTTACCAACCATTAGCTAGTATTTATGTAGGGGAATCTATTTTTATACTCTGCTTTTATTATTTCGCTACTTTTTGTAGAGCTTCTGTTTCTGTTTTTTTTTTTTCTTCGTTTTCTTTATTCGGAATTCTTTATTCGGGCTAAATTTAATGACCTGGTTCAATGGCTGAAAGAGAATAAGTGTATTTTGACAGCAAAAGAAGCATTGATTGCGTGAGTGTCTACATAATATTAGCAGGATAAAGCATCCTTAAACAAAGCAGAAATCCTTTCAACTAATGAAATGTGGAAAAAGTTTTTTCCCCCCCCCCCCCCCTCCAACATACCAACAGCGAATCAACAGCGAATCAAAAGAATAATCACTTTTTTTTGAAAAATTTTGTCTTTTATTTTTGCAATTCGACTCATTAAGTCCTTTAGTTAATGCCACAGTCTCAAGCATGTTGGCTTTTCATTTCATAACGACTTTATTATTATTATTTTATCTCTCATCAAAATGCTGGCTGGTCTCGTACTCGCCTTTAGCTCAAGCATGCATACAGACATACGCTTTTATGAAATTAAGTTGAAATTTATTAAAAAAAAATTAACTGAAACCCTACAACAACAACAACAAACACATTGTCCATAGAGCGGTGCTTAACTTTAATTGCCAATTTTGCCACTTCAATTGCATATTATTCTTTTACACATTTTCTCCTTCCCACTTTATTTTCAGCAGATTTCTCCTCATTTTTTTATTGCCTTCGCCCTACGACTCTCTGCACAGAGGTTGCCATTTTATGTTAATAACTGTTGTAATGATGACAAGCAACACTAAGTGACAGTTATGTCGCCTTCTGCAGTGAAAAATCACTCATACGCCGTGTGTGCGCGTTCAAAGTGCTGTCAACAGCATCAACAACCAAATGGCTTCGGTGGATATAATTAAAACAACTACACGTGAGCCGCAGAAGATGTGTGAACAGACGCACGCAGATATCTGTTACGTTCAGTCTCCCAGCTGGGAGACTGGTAAACTAGTAAGCGAAAATTCTAGCGTATCATGGCAATTAATCGACGAAAATAATTTTTGGCACTTCATTTTAATTCTTTCTTTTATATTTAATTTGTTTTTTTTTTTTTTTTTTTTTGGTGAAGTATGAATCTAAATAAACTAGTATACGACTAGTATAAAACTGATGCATAGTCAGACGTCTGACAATTCGTAGGCCAACGCCGTGCTAAGAATATCAATTGCTTACATGAGAAATAGATTCTAGATGATACAGCTGGTGCAAAAATGCTAACCAGTTGGAATCTAGTTAGAAACTCGTAACTTTCCCTGCAGGGATTACGTATATAGCACATCTGAGTGTAGTTGTATGTTGAGGTGCGAAATAACAAGGTAAACGGTATTCTTCAGAGTTCGCTTGAATTTCGTATAATTAAAGGTAAATTCGCCTTTAATATAAACTTAAGCACATATACATACACACATATATGTATGTGTATAATCGAAACGCAAAGCCGCTTAGTCACCAGATGTCTCATATGTTTGTGCATCTGAATGTTCTACGGTTCTCCAATTACCAAATCTTTCTTCAAAATGAGTTCCTGCAAGTTTTAGCAATTAAAACTCAGTTGAAACCAAATATCTGATCAAATATCAATAATTATATATAATTTACTAAAAATCTAGCCAAATTTCTTGTTGTATCAAATCGAAAAATAATTGCAATATTCCTCACAAAATTGGACAATTAAGTGCAATTAAGCCCGCTTCAGTTTCCATGTAAAATATGTATATATGTAAGTAGCTATGATTTCCAAGCAATCAAAGCGAACAGTTAAATAGCAACTACAGCATATAAATACGTATTTTAGGCTGATTAAAATATCAAAAAAAAAATCGTATGGGCAGAAAAGTCCTAGTGTTGTTGTATTCGCCGCTTCAAAATAAAACTGTTAACATTTCAGGATATTCTACTTAAAAATGTGTAAGACTCGGGTGCTAAGTATGAAATTATTTTTGCCCCATTCAGAACAAATTGGGTTTAAGTTTTACATTACCTCTTCACGTGAAAAGATACTGAGCAAGTAATGCAATTACATGAAAATCAACTATAAAACATTGCAGGGTCCATATGAGACCATGAAAGCATAAAAATCAACGAAATCATTAGAACGGTCGAAACGGCAGGTTGCGTGATATAGCCTCAACAGCTTAAGAAATGCTATTAAATATAAGATGAGCAAGCAAATTTCAAATATAAACTGTAAATGCATTTTTCTGTGCTTGTTTTTCTGAAATGCGTTTAGTTATCAATATCATTGTACTATAGAAATTTGGATTTTTATTTGAATGGCAAATTTGAAAGTAAAAAATTTAATGAAAATAATTATGATAACGAAGAGTTTATTTTTAAAAAAGAAAATATTCAATAGAAATTACTGAAAAAGCTGAGAATAAAAATTCTTTCAAATGCCCATAATTCTTTATTTCTCTTAATTAAATATTTGCAATAGTAAACATGGTGAAAGCAACGTCAAAAAGTCAACAAAATTTATCAAATTTCTTAAAAGTTTAAAAAGTCATACAAACTTAGCTTAACACGTACATGCAAATATACACACTTAAGTACAACTATTTCTGGAACAATAAATTTTCTCCTAGTACATCTCTACATTTTTGATGATACAACAAAAATCCTTTAATACTGCATATGTTTACATTTGGATATATACATATTTTCGTAATTATACATTTTAATGTTGCCTTTGCTTGTTGTTTGTGTCCAAAACATTGTCTTCTCAAACAGCTTTCAGCAATCCCAAGCGTATACACAGACAGATTAACAAGCATGGATGCATACAGCATTTAATTCTCCATCAGCCATGTTTACATGCATATATAATATTATATATATATGTATGCGTATGTTTGAGAATGGCTTTAGCCAAGTCTATAAAGTTGTATCAAAACCATCAACACACACCAATAACAACAATGGCAGCCATAATAATGTCATTAGGCACTAAATTAATCGATTATTACTTTCTCCTGATAACAATTTCCAACAAAAACAGGAATAAAAATATTCGAGGAAAATGATAAGGGTGCTCTGTTGGTGGATAAATTATATAAAAATTAAACGTTCTAAGAACGTAAAATTGTTAAAAATCACAAAGCATAATATGCACATGCTATATCAAATTGTTTAAGAGCCTTTTTGCAAATAATCTTTATGTAATTGAAAATGAAACCAAATAATTTTTTCAACAGCTGTCGCTTGCATGCAGCACATATCACTATGGAAAGACTTTGCTTTGAAACTAGTTCAAAGCTTTTTCGTACGATGATTTCAGAACAACTTCGTGGCTAAGTCCAGTTAAGAATTAAATTAAAAAAAAAACAATTGAAATGTACTTTTTAATAAATTTCAAGCTCTTTGAGTGTATATCTGACTTGAAATAAAAGTTTCTCATAGAAATCCAGAGTAAGCCGTAGATACCTCCATTTGGAAGAACAGCGCGACTGTAAAACGCTTCAGCGGTTATATATATAATATATATTTAGCTTTTTTTCTTCATAGAAAAATACGTCGGTATAGTTTCCAAATGATTTCGGTGCTAGTACAGGACGACTACTGCACTTCTTTAGGACAGGTTGGGCAGTAGTTTGGATCCATATCGGGGTTAGTTAAATAAATTTTTGTGACTTTTATAAGTGCTGTACTTTTTCTGCTTTTACCTTCTGCTTTTAATTGTATGCTGTCCTCTCACAAATCGTGCTGTTCTAAGTTCATAGCAACCATTCTTTTAACAATCATTAACAATTCCGAAACTATAGAAAATACCGCATTAACCACAGAACCCAATAGTAAGTGCATGCTAAGAAAAACACTTTTTATTTTATTTGTTTCTCTTTTCGCCTTAATTTTGATTTTCATAACCACAATGTGAATGTATGCAGCAATATGTGGGTTTATGAGCCAATTGAAAATATCTGTGGAAAGCAAACAAATCTCGCAACCTCTGCTGAACAGACCCACTCTGTGTGAGGAGCAGCTTAGCAGTTCCTTTTAGCCCAACAAAGGCACTACAGCTCTGTCACATATAGCATAGAACAGCTGCCGCAACGGTACTAACACATCAATTCCGGACGTTTCGCAAAGCGACCGGACATGCATGCACACATACATTCTCAAACCCGTTTAAAAGTACACAAATACTCATCAGCACACAGGTGTCACATAATGGCACTCGTCGCATTTATGTCTTTCACACTTCACTCCGAGCATGTATGAATTTCTCTCTTCAACACTGATTGGAGGCAACTGGCGATTGTTTCCCATTAATCGGTACACTAAGTATAGTATGGAAACAAACACTATATAGATTTTCATAATTTTTTGAGCAGCACTGGTTAGCTCGGCTGATTGCTGTCGAGCTTTTGCAAAAACCAACAAGAGTCTCGTTTAAGAGTGAACCCTAAATGCAGGGCGAACAATTTCTGCTTTAATTCCCAAAATTCTCATCTGGGATGGCTGCAATTGTGTGCGTATTTATGGTTGTTGCTCAGTTTCTGAATTGGCTTTAGAAAGCGAAGTGACATCAAAATGCAGTAATGGCCTCACTTTTCTATGGACATAGCTAGAAAGCATCAGATAATTTCATTAAAATTAAGTGAGTTTCCATTTTTCAATTCAGGAATACACCAGAGGGGCAGACAGTCCTTGCCAAAGAGCATTTAGATGAGTTGTTTTCTGTCCTTTTCGATCCTTTTCGATGTTGGACTGGCCAGAAGGAGGTAAGGATTGCAAAATTGTCCAGAGTATTTGGGGCAAATGAGGGAATCATATATATATTTTTTTTTTGGCTTGGAGTCCCATAAATGGTCTCTTCGTTTTGTAGCACGAAGAACTTCCAAGTCCACTTGATTTATGCCTGGTAGCTAATTTGCAAATAAGATTGTGTGCGTTTCTCAAAAAC